GAGAATTAGCGTACTAAGATATATTTACATTCTTATAGTTTTGTATGTGTTTCATAACCAAAGGTAGATATTTAGTTTAAAAGGAAGTAATGATTGAGTTATCCCTTCATACCATTCTTGGTATGACCTAGTTTATCCCATTTTCTGTAAGTCCACTGTAGCAATAGTCGGCCATTACAGGGAGCCTCTGAGGCAGATTAAAGGTAATTATCTGCAAATATTTGTATAATCAAGTAATGTCATGTATTATTATACAACTCAAAATGGAAATACATGTTTAAAGATTGCTTATGTATGGAGAAAACAAGGCTTTATGTTTTAGATCATAGATTAAGAGGAAGAAATTATGTCTCGTTTCAGTTTTACATGTAGAAGCACTATGGTAAAGAAAATGACAAGTGTAGCTGAAAGAAAGGATAAAAGGAATAAACAAACAGCAAAGAATGAAGTGTTTCCCTTGTACACCCTGATCTACCCCTATTATAGCCGGCACAACAAGAAACAGTTGACTGGTCTTTACAAACTGGATTTCAGGAGGAATATTATTTTCTAATAATAGCACTATCTATCATGATAGGAATTAATATCTAATAATATAGATAAAAGGCAACATCTCCAATAGGTAATTGGTGCTGTCACTATAATATTTGTTTCTATGCATCCTTCGTGTAAGAAAATTATTTCTGAAACAGGATCATTGCTGGAAGTTTGGAAAAAAGAAATGGAGAAAAGAGGTTCCTCGCACTTTCCAACATAAACATTATTATGGAATAAATATATGATAGAAATAATGATAGTGACGTCACAGACAAGAGTCAAAAAGGTGATTAAGGGGAGGAAATAAGAGTAAGGATAGTATTAATGATATAAATAATGATAATGAAAATGATAATGATAATGGTAGTAGTAATGAAATTGATAATGATGATAATGGTGGTAGTAATAAAATTGATAATGATATAATAATAATGATAATAATTAGAGAAATGATCATGCTGATAGTAATGACAATAATAATAATAAAAGTGATAATCAAGGTAGTTTGAATAAAAATCCTAGTTGGCAACTTCCGATATAAGTCCAGCCTCTATGCCTTTATTCATTTCAAATATTAAATTTTCCTTTTTTTTTCTTGGTATTGATTCCATCTACTTTTGTACCACTGTTATCACTGAACCATTTTCAAAGAGAATGCACTGAAACACACTTTGCATGATATATCGTACAGACTGGTTGCGTCAAATAAAGGCAGAGGTAATGACACCATCACGTTCTGCCGAAGAGAGTGCATTGTCAAATAGCAGATATAGTTACGTAATCATTAGTACAATTTACTCAGTATTCTTCAAATTACCATAAGTAGTATGAATATTCCCTTCATATATTTATGATAACGAAGAGGTCCTTAAGATTAACAGCCGTGAGAATACTCTTGGCAGAAAATTAATGGAAATGGAAGTGGACCTATCTGGTTATATGTGCCTTGATGATAATGATAGTAATAATAATGATGATGATGAAATAATGGTAATGATAAAGATAATAATAATAATAATAAAGAAACAAAAATGATAGTGATAATGATAATAATGATGGTGATAGTAACGATAATGATGATAATAGTAATAATGATGATTATAACAGTAATAGTTATACCAATAATAATATCAACAACAATAGCAATAATGACAATATTATCCTTATTTGTAATAGTATTAGTAATAATATTGATAATGATAATTATAACAGTAATAATAACAACAACAATAATACGTAATAATAACAACAACAATAATACGTAATAATAACAACAATAATAACAACAGTAACAATAATGATAATAATATTATATCATTAATGATGTTAATGATAATGATCATGATAATGATTATGATCATGATATTAGTAATAATTATTATCATTATTATTACTGTAATGATAATAACAATAATAATGACAATAAGAATAAGAATATCAATAATGATAGTGAATATTATTCTCAAAGCGTAGTAGGGGCGGTAACAATATTATCAGTTATTGATTATTATAAATTATCATTGTGAGTCTTGGAATCATTATTATTTTCATCATTACTACCAACATAAATCTAACGTCATTTTGATCAAAACTTTTATTGATAACAATAGTCACTGCATTTCCGATTCAGCTCTCTTATCATTACCATTCCAACTGTTATCATCATTGTTATCGACAGGATGAACTTTGGCATTCGGGGCATACGCAGAGTGTCAGCATGAGGCCGGGCGAGGATCAGCTTCGCATACCTGGCTTATCCTTGCCTTGTCAGCATGCACTCTCTGCTGTCTGTTTCCGGTCCGTCCAGTTGGGCGCTTGCCGTGGGAGAGGAAGGTCATGACGATCTCTTCAGCGGAGGCTTCACTGGATCTTAAGCTTCGTGATATAACAGTGAGCGAGGCGAAGGGCCCTGGGTCTGTATACGCAAGGGGCGGGGCGAAGGGACCTTGGGATCTGTACAGGA